AAAAAAAAAAAAAAAAAAAAAAGAATTAGACTGGGACTAGGCTTTCACCAGCAACTCTGTGACAGAAGGCCATGGGGCCACACATTGGGGGCAGAATTCCAGGCTGTTGGTGACGTCGTCTGGGGAGAGGTCCCTCCTGTCCCAGGCAGTGACACAGAGATGGAGGTATGGCTCTGCATGAGACTGGAGGGAGACCCCCCTGCTGGCCTTGAAGATGAAGTCACCACGTTGTGAGAGGGTCATCAGAGGGGCTGCATGGCCAGGACCTGAGGACACCTCTAGGGTGAAGAGTGACAATGGCTATCAGCCAGCGAGGAAAAAGAGGCCTCAGCCCCACAGCTGCAGGGACTGAATTCTGCCAACAGCTGGGTGAGTCTGGAAGGGGCCCGGGGCTTCCAAGGAGAGGCAGGCCCGGCCATCATTGATTCCAGCCTTGGAGATACCCTGAGTGGGGAACAGCTGAGCCCTGCCCAGGCCCTGACCCCAGAACCTAAGAAAATAAATGGGTGTTTAAAGCAGCTAAACTGCAAAGTTTGTGGTAATTTATACACAACGTGTTCTTGTTTTTGTTTAATTCTATTTATTTATTTGAAACAGAGTCTTGCTCTGTCACCCAGGCTGGAGTGCAGTGGTATCATCTTGGCTCAGTGTAGCCTCCACCTCCTGGGCTTAAGTGGTCCTCCTGCCTCAGCCTCTCGAGTAGCTGGGACTCCAGGTATGCACCACCACGCCCAGCTAATTGTATTTGTTGTGGAAACAGGGTTTCACCGTGTTGCCCAGGCTAGTCTTGAACTCCTGGGCTCAAGCCATCTGCCTGCCTTGAACTCCCAAAGTGCTGGGATTACATGTGTGAGCCACCATGCCCAGCCACACATACATTTTTAAGTCTCTGTAGCTGCAAAAATAAATAAATATTTAACATGACAGATCAGCTGTCACCAGGCCTATCTTCCCACTTTAAACAACTGGGACACTGGGTAGAAAACGGGGCACAGCTTTCGCTGAGTGGATGATGAGCCCATGAGCGGTGCAGGGCCGAGGCCCTCAGAGAAGGCCCACACGAGGTGAGCCCACTCACTGCCCAGCTGCTCTCCACGGGGCCTTCTGGGTCCCTGCAGGGAGGGCAAGCCACACAGAGCATGGCGGTCTTGCTGTGTGGAGGAGGCAAAGGTTGGAGTTTGGAGAAGCTGAAGAGGCTGAAGTGGGCTTCATGAGGCACAGTTGCTGAGAGGAGGGGATCCTGGGATCTGTGCAGAGGTCCCCTAGAAGCTGCAGCTGACAGCCACATGCAAATATGCAGGAGAAGCCAACATGGGCTGGGCCAAGAGCAGCTCATGGGAAGGAGCAGCCAGCAGGGAGCTCCATGTGTTCGTCAGGGCAGCCGGCCTCGGAGAATCCTTGGCGCTGTCTCTCCAGGGCACGCAGCGGAGACCCGGGAGTCATGATGCTGAGTCAGCCCTGGTGAAAAGGCTTCTCTGGACCTGCCGGACCTGCTCTCGCACAGATTTTAAACAAGTCTCTAAAGGATCAAGCTGCCACGTAAATACTTAGCTGCAGCCAAACAAAAAGCAACACAACAAATCCAGACACTCGCCAACATCATATTCACAGTGCGTGACATCCAGTGAAAACTTACCAGATGAGCAAGCAAGTAGAAAAAAACGTAGCTTTCTCCAGTAGAAAAATCAGCCAATGGAAACAGTCTCAGACATAGACATGACGGAATTAGCACAAAAATACACTTAAGCAGCTATTATTATACGTTCAGAGACTTAAAGGTAACCGTGCACATAATGAGGAGAGAAATTAAATATATGAAAAAGTCTAAATATTGCAATACGTGTTTTCTTACAATGAATGGAAGAGTTTAACAAAGAAGGAACATTGGAATCAAGAGGTGAGAACGTAAGCTAGACGCAGCAGCTCACGCCTGTAATCCCTAGCATTTTGGGAGGCCGAGGCGGACGGATCACCTGAAGTCAGGAGTTCAAGACCAGCCTCACCACCATGGTGAAACCCCATCTCTATTAAAAATTAGCCGGGCATGGTGGCAGGCGCCTATAATCCCAGCTACTCTAGAGGCCGACACAGGAGAATTGCTTGAACCCAGGAGGTAGAGGTTGGAGTGAGCTGAGATCGCGCCACTGCACTTCAGCCTGGGCAACAGAGCAAGACTCCACCTCAAAACAAAACCAAAAACTTCAGAATGTTACCACAACATGTTTTTTTTCTTCTGCATTAGTTTGTGTTATGAGGGTTTTCTACATACACGATCCCAGCATTTTGGGAGGTCAAGGCAGGTGGATCACCTGAGGTCAAGAGTTGATGACCAGCCTAACATGATGCGTGTCTACTGGCATCCCTCCAGCAAGGGGAAGCCCAGTTGGTGGGTCCATGCGTGGTCTCATACCAGGTAGAGGGGCCACAATGCCTGGAGGTGGGGTTGCTCTGCCGACAGATGGGGGGCCGAGTCCCCCGTCCTCGTCGGTACTGTGCTGGGGCTCCAGCAATGCTGGCAGTCACAGAACAGCAGCAGTTGCTACAGTGCCTCTTCCCTGTGCAGTCTTTACCTGCTGGGATGGTCCACCAACTTCTCAGACAGGGCCTGCTAATCCAGTCGGTACTCCTCTACCAGCTGCCCTACCAACCCCAGGGCCTCCTGACGCTCCAGCAAGTGGTACCCGAGCAATGCCAGTATCTAATGGCCACCCCCTCCACAGTCATGGATACCAACTTCTCCCCACGCTGCAACACCAGACCCAAAACCCGCTTTTCTTCACACTCTGGTTGCTTCGCATTCTTTGACTTCATCTTTCTGAACTCATCACAATCACAGAGGATCAAACTCACATGCCTGTCAAAAGCCTTCAAGGTGTCAGTGAAGATCAGGCCGTCTCAATCTACAGTCCACGTGCTGCAGCATCTGGCTACCACGCTTCCCCAGTCACTACTGGTGTTCCACCAAATCTGACACCTCTGAAGACCTAGGGAAGGCTGGTTTTTGCTGGGAATCAGATTCCTCTCGATTCCAATATGGCTTTGATCACCTCTTGGTGTCTCAGCTAAGAATGCCTGCCTCGGTTCAGCCTGGAAATCCACCACAGGTACCTGCTGCTGCTGAGAATGCCTCGGGTACCACCGACACTCTGGGTTGCTCAGTGAGGCAGTCCTGCACTTGACTTGGACTTCCCTCTCTGGTACGTGCTGGTCTGTAGTCCGTCTCAGGTCTAAGTGATCCCTGCTTGCTCCATCACGTCACTGACTGCTTCTCAGACCAATGCGGCAGGCATCTCCAGCAGCTGCTCCACTCTATATTTGTTTATTTTTGAGACAGAATCTCATTCTGTTGCCTAGGCTACAATGCAGTGGCATGAGCTTGGCTCATTGCAATCACCACTTCCCAGGTTGAAGCGATTTTCCTGCCTCAGCCTCACGAATAGCTGGGATTACAGGCATGTGACACCACACCCAGATAATTTTTGTATTTTTAGTAGAGATGGGGTTTCACCATGTTGGCCAGGCTGATCTCTAATTCCTGACCTCAGGTCATCTGCCTGCCTTGGCCTCCCAAAGTTCTGGGATTATTACAGGCATGAGCCACTGCACCCACCACACCAAATATTTCATGTATTTATTTACATTTTATTTTTTATTTATTTATTCATTTTTTTTTTTGAGATGGAGTCTTGCTCTGTTGCCTAGGCTGGAGTGCAGTGGCGTGATCTTGGCTCACTGCAACCTCCACCTCCTGAGTTCAAGCGATTCTCCCACCTCAGCCTCTGGAGTAGCTGGGACTATAAGTGTGAGCCATTGCACCTGGCCCACAAAACACTTTGAAACCATCAGAACTCACAGACTATCATAAGAACAGCACAGGGAAACCGCCCCCATGATCCAATCACCTCCCACCAGGACCCTCCCTTGACACATGGGGATTACAATTTAAGATTAGATTTGGGTGGGGACAGAGAGCCAAACCATATCATACAGCATACACATTCATCGAAATTCACATACAGCATTCACTAAAATCAAGTGGATAGTTAAAATGGATGAGTTTTATTATATGCATTCTTCAATAAAGTTGACTTTAATATATATGGGAAATAGAATGCTATCTTTGTGCAAGTAAGTGTTCATCCCAACGGATAAGAAATAACCTTAAGACATTAACAATCAGACAAGACAGAACAAGAAGGCTCTTTGTTTTTGTTTCCCTTTTTGCAGAGACGGGGTCTCGCAGTGTTGACCAGGCTGGCCTCCAATGCCTGGGTTCAAGCGATCCTCCTGCTTCTGCCTCCCTAAGTTCTGGGATTACAAGAATAAGCCACCACAACTGGCAAGAGGAGATTCCTAGTGTGGGATAAAATAGCAGGAGCTCTTCTATGGCTCTTATTACAGACTGAGAAGCACCGTCCTTCTGAGGCCTCTGGCCGTGCTCCCTCCAGCAGGCAGCCCCTTCTGTACACTTTCTCACACCACCCCTCGTGTGAGCAGGAATTCTAACTGTCTTGTTCACTGTCTTTCTCCCCCAGGAAAATGTGAGGCCAGGGATTGGATCTGTTCAGTTCTGAATCCTTAGTACCTACAATAGCACCTGCCCATAGGAGACACTCAATAAAAATATCTGCCTGGGGACAGTTACCTTTCAACGTCCTGCTGGAATCGGGCCACCTGTGCCTTGAGCTTCATCTCTTCTTCTTGCAGCATCTGAATCTGAAGGTCTTTGGAGACCATCTCCTTAGACAGTTGAGCAATCTGAGCATCCCAGGCAGATTTTACAGCTGATGCATCTTCACGAAGTCTAAACACAGACGGGAAGCTATGTGGATGTGGTTCTCACTCACTCACTCTGGTTGTCTCTTACACGGCACTCCCCAGCAAATACACATTCACACACACACACACACACACACACACACACACACACACACAGGGAGCTCTCAAAGGAAATCCACATTGGAGCTGAAACTTCCTGACCTAGATGAAGGAGATGGTTCCACCCAGGAAGAAGCAAGCATCCATCCACCCAACTACCTCCATGCATGCATCCTACCAACCCAGATTCCGACTAAGCTCCTGCAGCACACAGGGCCATATGCCAGGTTCCTAGGGGGGAAGGTGAGGCATGACATGCCTCCCAGACCCAGAGAACCCCAGTCTTGAGGTAGTGCCATCTCTGACCAACTCACCCTCATATCCCTGCCACATGTGGAGACATTCAATACACTTTCAAATTGCATAGTAAAATAAGGTTCTATAGAACCCATTAAATTACCTTAACAGCAGGATGCCTCTGGGAGAATTACCCCAAATTGAATAAATTTCCCAGGAAAACGTTCAGGACAATTTTTAGAGCTGTTAACTCAGGTAGCCACAGTGCTAACCTCAGCAAGACGACACCTGCCCACTTGCATGGCTGTGGCCCTCTTTCCCTAAGAGACGGGGTAGGTGGCTCGCAAGAGCAACTGTAACATCACACACAACACTCCTTCAGATGCTCCTGAGCTGATGAACTTCCAAATGACGGACAGTGAGAAGCACAGAGTGAGCTGGCTGTGCCCACAGAGGCCACCCCTTGTCATGAGGGGTCAGTTAAACCCAGCATGAGCGGTGCATCTCAAGTCTGGTATTATATAGGATGAAAAAAAAAGCCACTCTTCCAACAGTTTTGGACAAATATTTTAGGACGGCTGAAAGGAGACACCATCAAAGGCATTAACCTTTCCAGCCCTCTCCGGCAATTTGGGCTGACATGGGCTCCTTCCACGCTGTGGATGGGTGCTGAAGAAACAGACTCATCAATGGCCTCTGGTGCTCTGGGAAGCAGGTTATCTCTGGACCATGAGCCACCCAATTATGAGGGACGGCCCTACTCCCAACATCAGGACAGTGATGTGACTCTGCCTGGGGCCTCCTGACTGGTCTACTCTGACACACAGTCTCAGGTGTACATCAGTGGGCACGGCCACTGAGCCCTCACTGCAGGGAGAGAGGACACCACAACCATGAGCAGGAGTGTACTGCTCACCACAAGAGCATAAATGCTTTTTGTGAGAGGCCAAGGTGGGAGAATCACTTGAGCCCAGGAGGTCGAGGCTGCAGTGAGCCATGGTCTCACTGCTGCCCTCCAGCCCAGGCAACAGAACACAATGCCTTCTCTTTCTTCTGTGTAATGGGATGCTTAAAATAAAAAAGGCCAGGCATGGTGGCTCATGCCTATAATCCCAGCACTTTGGGAGGCTGAGGCAGGCAGACTGCTTGAGGTCCAGGAGTTCGAGACCAGCCTGAGAAACATGGCAAAACCCTGTCTCTATTAAAAATACAAAAACTGGCCGGGCGCGGTGGCTCATGCCTGTAATCCCAGCACTTTGGGAGGCCAAGGAAGGTGGATCACGAGGTCAGGAGATCAAGATCATTCTGGCCAACATGGTGAAACCCTGTCTCTACTAAAAATACAAAAAAATTAGCTGGGTGTGGCGGTGCACACCTGTAGTCCCAGCTACTTAGGAGCCTGAGACAGGAGAATTGCTTCAACCCAGGAGGCAGAGATTGCAGTGGGCCAAGATCGTGCCACTGCACTACAGCCTGGGCGACAGTGCGAGGCTCTTTCTCAGAAAAAAAAAAAAAAAAAAAAAAAAAAAAAAAAGAAAAAAATTTGCCGGGTGTTGTGGCGCACACTTGCAGTCCCAGCCACCGGGGAGGCTGACGTGGGAGGATCACCTGACCCCACGAAGTATGAGCTGCAGTGAACCGAGATCATGCCACTGCACTCCAGCCTGGATGAGAGTGAGATCCTGTCTCAAAAAAAAAAACAAAACAGAAAGAAAAAAATGCTTTCACGTTAATCCTACAGGTTTTCGCTGTAGTTCCAAACCAGCATAAAGCTTCTGAAAAAGCTATGAAGAACTACAAAGCTGGCCTGGAGTGGTGGCTCATGCCTATAATCCCAGCACTTTAGGAGGCTGAGATGAGAGGATCACTTACGTCCAGGAGTTAGAGACCGTCCTGGGCAACATGGGGAGACTCCATCTCTACTTTATTTAAAATAATAATAATAATAATAAAGGCCAGGAGTGGTGGCTCATGCCTGTAATCCCAGCACTTTGGGAGGCCAAGGTGGGCGGATTACCTGAGGTTGGGAGTTGGAGGCCAGTCTGACCAACATGGAGAAACCCCATCTCTGGTAAAATTTTAAAAAATACAGATTGGGGCACGATCCTGCATGTCCCTGCTGGGGCTCCAGGAGGGGTGTGGGCAGGAAGCATGACCCCTTTAAAAAAATACAAAATTAGGCAAGCGTTATGGCACATGCCTATAATCCCAGTAGCTACTCAGGAGGCTGAGGCAGGAGAATTACTTGACTCTGGGAGGTGGAGGTTGCGTGAGCTGAGATCGTGCCCTTGCACTCCAGCCTGGGCAACGAGAGGGAAACCCCATCTCAAAAAATAAAATAAAATAAATACATAAGATTTTTTTTAAAAGAAAAAAAGGAAGTGAAATAAATAAGGCTTTCATTTATTTATTTCTAATTTTTTAATTTAAAAAATACTAATTTTTTAGAGACAGGGTCTTGCTCTGCCTCCTGAGTAGCTAGGAGTAAGGGTAAGTGCCACCGTAACTGTCTAATTTTTTGGGGGGTGGACATTTGTTGCCCAGTCTCAAGTTATCCTCTTGCCTTGGCCTCCCAAAGTGCCGGGATTATAGGTGTGAGCCACTGTGCCCAGCCGAGGTCATCATTTAATGCTAACTCATACTTAGGATCATGGGATCAGAATGATAACTGAATTCCACAGAAGTAAAAGGGAAAAGACATAAGCTTTAGAATGTAGAAGTCTGTTTCTCACTGCCAAAATAATATTGTGTATGCGTAGTAATAATTCTTAACGACCAAAGAGTATTTATGGACAGAAAATGAAAAGACATTCAAGAACAACATTTAGCTTAAGACTGCGAGGGGAGGCCAAGGCCAGGCGCACAGGAGCGGTGAGGTCCAGTCCCCACGGCCACACTACCCAGGACATGGAAGCACCTGCAGCTCCTCTCACCTCACATACCGACCACAGAGGCTGCAGGGGCCTCCCATGTGTGGCGGCTTTAACCACTCTGCTTGAATCTGACTGATGAAACAACAAAACAGCATGCTGAGTCTAGGAAATGAATAAGCCTTTGACTTCCCGGTGTACTTCTAAGAGCCATTTCCCCCTTAAACCAAAATACAATTTGGCAGAGAATTCTCTGTTGGCAGTGGAACGAGAGATGGAAACAACCCACACATCTATCAACAGACGGATGGATAAACAAAATGTGGTCCATCCAGACAAGGGAAGGTGACTCAGCCTTAAAAAGGAAAAAAATTCAGACTTAATGCCACTGAACTGTATATTTGAAAATGGTCAAGACAAAAAATAAAGAAAAGAAGAAATGGTTAAGATACTAAATTTTATGTTGTGTGTACTTTACCACAATTTAAAAATTCAAAGAAAAGGAATGAAATTCTGACATACATTAAAATGTTGACGATCTTTGAGGACATTAAACCAAGTGAAATAAGCAAGTCCTAAAAGGACAAATATTGCATGATTCTAACTCACAGGAGATCCCCAGCCTGGCTGAATCCATAGAGGCAGCAAGTAGAACGGAGGTGGCCAGGGGCTGGTTGCGGGGGTTCTGGTGGGGGTGTAGGGGGAGCTGATGGGGCAGGAGAGAGCTGGCAGGGGTGTGGGGGAGCTGGCGGGGTGGGAAGCTAGTGTGTAATGGGTCAGAGCTTCAGTTTGGGAAGATGGAAAGTTCTGCAGATGACAGTGGTGATGGCTGCACAACAATGTAAATGTGCTCAATGGCACTGCCACTGACCCGTACACTAGTAAATGGTTAAGATGGCAAATTTTATCTTATGCATCTCTTACTATAAACAGATGAATGCATACATACATAGAAACTACATGATTTAAAAAAAAAAAAAGAGAGAGAGTAGTTAAGAAAAGTGACCAGAGAGCTACAGAACTTCTCCCTGTCTGCTGCCTGGCCCACTTCCTGTGGTCTGGCACCTAGTGGGCCTGCCCCGGTCAGCACAGCCACAGCCGCCCCGCCTCACCCTCTGTGTTGAGCCGAGCACACACTCACTGGTCAATGGCAGTGTCCTTCTCCTTGGCAGCGTCTGCCTGCCTCCACTCTGCCCTGCGGAGCTGCGCCTCCAGGGTCTCGCAGTGGGCCTGCAGCTCCAGAACCCTGGCCTGCAGCTCCCGCAGCTGTTCCACGTGGGCTCCCTTCACCGCTGCCAGCACTGCATCCTTCTCCCTGGCTAGACGGTCGAGCTCCTCATGCCTGAAACACAGTGACGGTCCCATGGTGCTCACCCGGCCCCCGACACCCAGGCCCAGACCCTCTCTGGAGGCATTCGTCGCCCTGCCTCGGGCTCGGGTCCTGCTGCACGTCTGCCTCGGGGCTTTGCAGCAGCCACCTGCTCATCATTCCTCTCAGACTAACATGGACCAAACCACTCTTAGATGCCAGGCCCCTGGCCCACCCTCCAGAGCCCACAGCTCCTGGGAGAAGGATACCAAAAGGAGATGCATAGAGCACAGCTTGACCACCACCGGCAGGACTCCCAACAACCTTCAAAAGCAAAAACAGGTAGATGCTCACTGCCTTGCATCTGGCAACCAGCCAGGTCTACTGAGCCACACCACACCCGGCCTATTTATTTTCCAGTTAGAGACAAAGTCTAGCTCTGTTGCCCAGCCTGGCCTTGAACACAGACAATCCTCTCACCTCAGCTTCCCAAGTAATTGGGCTTATAGGCCACACTACTTTGCCTAGCAAAAGCGTTTTAATTTAAAAATATTACATTAGCACCTGGACACAGTGGCTCATACCTGTAACCCAAGCACTTTGGGAGGCCAAGGCAGTCTAGCAGATCACTTGAGCCCAGGAATTGGAGACCAGCCTGGGCAATATGGCAAAACAGCCTCGACAAAAAATAAAAAATTAGCCTTTGTGGTGATGGGTGCCTGTAGTCCCAGCTACTTGGGAAGCTGAGGTGGAAGGACCACCTGAGCCTAGGAGGTCAAGGCTGCAGTGAGCCCTGACAGTGCCACTGCACTCCAGCCTGGGTGACACAGTGAGACCGTCTCAAAAACAAAACAAAACAAAACACACCACATTAGCAAAAGTATTAAACAAAATTTAAAAAAGAAGACTTACCTGTTGGTTTCCTACCTTCTGAGCATATTAGGTTCTAATAAGTAGAGTGCTATCAGGGCTATGGAATGTTATATAAGCCATCTCAGTGAAGTCTTTGATCTAACCCTCCTGGGACTGAGAGACTGATGGCTCTCCTAATCAGGTTTCAGGCCCCTTGGCAAGGCCAATGCCAGCTCTCTGCTTCCACCAAGTTGGAGAAGCTCATTCAATTATCAGCTGATGGATGATTTAAAATCATTCTTGGCCAGCCACAGTGGCTCACACCTATAATCCCAGCACTTCAGGAAGCTGAGGAGGGCAGATCGCTTGAGGTCAGGAGTTTGAGACTGGTCAACATGGCAAAACCCAGCCTCCACTAAAAAAAAATACAAAAATGAGCCAGGCATGGTGGCGGTGGCGCATGCCTGTAATCCCAGCTACTTGGGAGGCTGAGGCAGGAGAATTGCTTGTACCTGACAGGCAGAGGTTGCAGTGAGCCAAGATCGCGCCACTGCATTCCAGCCTGGGCAAAAGAGTGAGACATCATCTCAAAATAAATAAATAAATAGGCTGAGTGCAGTGGCTCACACCTGTAATCCCAACACTTCGGGAGGCCAAGGGAGGCGGATCACCTGAGGTCAGGAGTTTGAGACCAGCCTGACTAACATGGGGAAACCCTGTCTCTACTAAAAATACAAAATTAGCCAAGGGGTGATGGTGCATGCTTGTAACACTACTTGGGAGGCTGAGGCAGGAGAACTGCTTGAAACTGGGAGGTGGAGGCTGTAGTGAGCCGAGATCATGCCACTGCACTCCAGCCTGGACAACAAGAGCAAAACTTCGCTCAAAACAATACAATGAGGCTGGGTGCAGTGGCTCACCCGTTTGTCTCTCTAGTAAATTGCATATCCCAGTATAGAGTGACTTCTCAAGGTTCTTATTTTTCATTGTGTTTAATGTAATACTGTAAACCTTTAATAACACCATGGGACCTATGCAAAGTGCCACTAGTGATGCTGGAAATCAGCAGAGGAAAGTCAAGCATTTACAGGACAGGTCTGCAGCTGCTGGCTGTTTTAAAACACATGAATCCAGTCTGGGTACAGTGGCTCACCCCAGTAATCCCAGCACTTTGGGAAGCCAAGGTGGGTGGATCACTTGAGGACAAGAGTTTTAGACCAGCCTGGCCAGCATGGCAAACTCCATCTCTACTAAAAATACAAAAAGTAGCCAGGTGTGGTGGTGCACGCCTGTAATCCCAGCTACTTGGGAGGCTGAGGCATGAGACTCACTTGAACTGAACTCAGGAGGCAGAGGTTGCAGTGAGCTGAGATTGCACCACTGTACCATCTGCCTGGGCAACAGAGGCAACTCTATCTCAAGAAAAAAAAAAAATGTTCTTCTGATAATGGACAATGCCTCTTGCCACCCACACCCAGAACCTATGAGTTCAACAGCAAGGTGCTGTCGACGTGGTCTGTGGAAGGGTTCCAAGACTGAAGAAGCCATCATTGCTATAGAAAAAGCCATGGAAGCTGTCAAGCCCCAAATAATAAATTCCCGATGAAGAAAACTGCGTCTAGCGGTCATGCCTGACTTTACAGGATGTACAATGGTGCCAATCAAGTAACTCATGAGATCAATTGCAATATGGCAAAAAAAAAAAAAAAAAAAAGGTCAGGGTAGAGGGTGAGGGGTGGAGGATTTCACAACATGGATCTTGGAGAAACCCCAGAGCTAACTGACACCGCACCAGAGGAATTAACGGGAGCTGACTCAGCGGGGATGAGAGCTTCCGAACTGGCACCAGACAATGAAGCAGTGCTAGGAGAACACACGGACAGGAGACAGGCACTCCTGCAGAAGGGTTCCCACCATTCACACCTGCTTTGACTTTTTATGACGTGGACCTGTCTATGACACGGGCACTGAGACTGAGGCGAGGAAGCGGGATTGGCATCGTATAGAAATATTTTTAGAGAAATGAAAAAGCAAGAAAGTCAGATGGAATTACAATGTGTTTCTACAAAGTTCCACCAGGAATGCCTGCCTCTCCTGCACCCCCTTCCACCTCCTCCACCTTTGCCACCGCAGAGACAGCCCCTCCTCTACCTCTTCCTCCTCAACCTCTTTAATGTGATGATGATGAAGATGAAGAGCTACAAGACGATCCACTTCCACTTAATGAACAGTAAATATATTTTCTCTTTTTTTGATTTCTGTTTTTTAGACAAGGTCTCACTTTGTCATCTAGGCTAGAGTGCCATGGCACTATCTTGGCTCACTGAAGCCTCAACCTCCCAGATTCAAGTGATCCTCCTGCCTCAACCTCCTAAGTAGCTGGGACTACAGGCGTGAGCCACCACACCTGGCTAATTTTTTGTATTTTTTGTAGAGAAGGGGTTTGGTGATGTTGCCTAGGCTGGTCTTGAACTCCTGAACTGAAGCAATCTGCCTACGTTGGCCTTCCAAAGTACTAGAATTATAGGTGTGAGCCACCGTACCCAACCTACTTCTACTTTCTTATGACTTTCTTTTCTTTCTTTTTTTTTTTTTTTGAGACAGAGTCTCAAAAACCTCCACCTTCCAGGTTCAAGCGATTCTCCTGCCTCAGTCTCCCAAGTAGCTGGGATTACAGGCATGCGCCACCATGCCTGACTCATTTTGTATTTTCAGTAGAGATGGGGTTTTACCATGTTGGCCAGGCTTGGCCACGCTGGTCTCAAACGCCTGATCTCAAGTGATCTTCCTGCCTCAACCTCCCAAAGTGTTGGGATTACAGGCATGAACCACTTAGCCTGGTCTTTTATGATTTTCTTGTTTTTTTTTTTTTTTT